TAAAACAAGTAACATTAAAATTCATTTTGTGGAAGAACATGGTGTCTATGTTATGCAAGGTCTAGTTTTTCTCAACAACACTCAGTCTATTATATATAATTGAAACAATTGCAAACTTTATAATAAAGTCAAGTCAGTGCTGAGTTTTTGAAAATGCAATGTTCCAAATGGCTAAAAAATAATAAAGCTAGTACCAAAACAAAAAGAAAATTAGAGGACTCCATCATCAAACAAAGAGACTAAGAAACACTGCAGATATGCATTGAGTTGAGAATTAGGTAAGAAGCTATACATCTATACTTTTTGGTGTATAAAGCTATTAGAAATTATGATAATCATGGGATCCATTCTCTTTGGTGGAATATCTCAACGGGTTTCACCCACCCTCTAATTAATAACTAGATCTAGAACAAAAATTTATGAATAATGAAAATTAAGGAGGAGCTTGTGTTGTGAAAGATTGTATACATTATTAAATTAACTAGCATCTGTCAGCTCTAGTGATCTTCAGCCTCTTCACACTGTTTTAGCTAGACTAGTCTAATTATTTTATCTAATATGAAACATTAGGAAATTTAAATAGATAAATGATATTTTACCTATAAAAAGAACAAAATATTATATTCAACTAACATAAATATTATATCAATATTTAAAATATTAAAAATTAGGAACAATTAACAACAATAAGAATTTTTTTCTTACATTTATTTTAAAATAGATAAAAAGTCATATCTTAACTTTTCTATTACCATGTTGCCTAGTATGGAATTACTATTGTGAGCCAAGTAATTAAGGTCTTTAAAGAAATATGGACAGTATATTTTTTTTTATCACAAACAACTATTCACATTTAATTTTTTATTGCAATAAAATTCATGCTTGTATCCCTTGTTTTCATTCCACGCAATGAATAGAATTTAATTTGGATAGAATCAAATAACAAATAAACTGATTTTAACAATGTTAGAATTTTATCAAATTGTTTTTCCAAGATCCAAATATTTCATTAAATAACAAATTCTTAGAAATGTTGCGAGGCAAGAGACAAGAATAGGGAACTTAACTACAAATTGTAACACAAGATTTTTAAATATATTTGTAATACTAAAATATTCAAGAGAGAATAAGCATAGGGGAGAAGAAGATCCACTTACTTTGGTCCATGAATTAGAATTCAAGATCTTTAGTCATCTTTCCTGACTCCACTGTCTCAACACGTGCAGCTTCCAACTTATGAGTAAAACCCCCTAATTTTTCATTATTATCCAGCTTGGTTCTAGTAAATAATAACAGAATCATGTCAATAACAGGTTCAGAGAAAAGGAAAAGAATAGGGGAGAACATGAAAGAGGGAAAATAAATAAATCAGTTTATACAAGAACATAAATATAACATATATATATATATATATATATATATATACGTTATTTTTTTTTCTTCGATTGATCCCATGTGCATTATGATTTATGATTCTTAATAGGAAATGAGCTATGTGCTGAGGGAAAAGGAGCCAAAGTAGACAGTGTTTAATATGCTAAAGACATAACTATGCTCAAACGTATAGTTAATCTGCTATACCTAGATGCTTTTAGAAGGCCTAAAGTGTTAGGCCCTGGTGGTTTCTATGTTAAGGAATGGTTTCTAAAGCTTCTTACTAAATGTTGGGCCTGGTGTGGTTGATGGAGTGACCCACCATATTTACAACCTCGGTGCTATATATATATATATATATATATATATATATATATATATATATATTCCCCTTTTTGGTCAATAGCAATAGCATGCACTTCACTACTTTTCTCTCAATGATTGTTTTGTTTCTAATAATATTTATTCCAAATGAATTAAGGTGTCCACAAGGATGTTATCAACAAGATTCAAGACCCATATTTCTTGAGTCAAGTTGCCGAAAATTTTAAAAGTGTCACTTAAGCAGTCAATGAATTCACACCATGGGCAACACCATGGGTTGGGGAAGCTCGTGGAGCTTGTAACATTGGTAGCAAAGATGTCTCTCACACTTTTGTTAGTGGGTTTTGGTCGGTCTAATATACCAATGAATTGAGTTATTTTTTGTTTCTTTTTCAAAAATCCATGAGTATACATATTAATATCTCTTAACTTATATAACTAGGTACTTGGACTATAACACCCCATTTTTCAGAAAGGTTATTATTACTATTATTATTATTATTATTAGATGGTATTTGGTCATAAT